GATGTACCTACATATATCAAATATATCTATTGGTAGTACATATATATATATATATATATATATATATATATATATATATAAAATGGATATTGCAGTCTACACCCACAGGCGACAGTCTGTTTCGTGCTAAACACAATCGTCAGGCCATGATGATTATGTTTAGCATGAAACAGACAGTCGCCTCTGGCTGTTAACCGAAACGTTCATTTTTATGTTTACATACGCTCTATCCCGTCACTGATATTGAGCACTAACCCATAAATGTAGCATACCTTAAAATCATATTTTATGTGTGCGTGTGTGTGTTTGTGTGTGTGTGTGTGTGTGTTGAAGTACTCTCTCTGTGATAATTCCACAACAAATAGATTTAAAAGAACCAAGAATGGAAATAACATTCAATAATTGTTATTTTATATAACAATTTTGGTATCCAATGAGTGAGTTCCTCGTGTTCAGAAATGTCTGTATGAGTGTCAGTAAGAGATAACAGATTAATTAATGTGTGTTTTGTTTTTGTATTGAATATTTATATGAAAGGAAAGTAGTCCATAATATTTCTGTAATTTTGTGTATGAGAGAAAAGAATGTTTCTATAAGTTGAGAAAAATCAAGTCCTACATATTGGATACTTGAAAATGTATCAAAGAAATGACCAACGTGGCTTCCATTAGCAGTGGTTCACAAAAAGGACCTTGAAGTTAATTCTGCTTTCCTTTGTACACACTTTGCTGAAACAAGTGTTGGATCTTACGGCTATCTGATCTTTTAGGCGAGCAGTTCTCTGTTTGGCTGAAATATGTGATACGAATTTCTTAATTTTTTTTTTTTAAGTTGAAGGAATGGAAGTTCTGCACCGAGCCTACGTGCGTAGAAACGTTTTATTCAACATTAGCATTTTTGACTCTGGAACGTTAAATTCTTGTTTGATTAAGTTTGTGTCTCCACATATATATAATGATAAACATATTAAATAAAAATGTAAAAACCTATCTTCTCGACTGAAAGTATGGCTAATGTTATCCATGTTGTTGGAAAAGTCAATAAAATTAATAAACAGTTATCATATATTGCTAAGAAGGTGTTACATTAAAAACGTTAAATTTTGATGTCAATTTATTTTAGATTTGTTCTTTCTTAAGGAAAATAATGCGCTTAATGTACTGTACGACAGTGATTTTTTACAAATCTGTGTTATTGTGTGTGTGTGTGTGTGTGTGCCCGCGCCCGCGCGTGTACATTGTTTAAAATTTACTATATTTACAGAGCGTTTCCAGATGTAGATACTATGGACAAATATAGACACTGTGAACATAGGAACCAACACTGACTGGGGCTTATCAATTTCACGCCTCATTGCGATTTTATGACCTTGGGTCTGAAGATCGCATTGAGGCGCGAAACTGGCAGTCACTATGCAGTGTTGATCCCTTTGTCCCCCTCTCCCTCTCTCTCAATATTAACAAGCTTTTCGCTAGATCAATTACAAATGAATAGTGAATTCGATCCTCACTGGATACTTCAAACTTTCGGCCTTGTACTACACGCTATCTATCTATGCATGCACACATTCCCTGGCAGTTGTGTGTTCAATCCCTAAGTCTGGTAGTGCTGAAAAGTCATATATTCCGGTTCAGTGAAAGAGACGGACAAGTGACAAAGGGGAATAAGACTGGACAGTATGTTATGGTAATTTACCCACGCACGCATGGACTCTCCCTGCTATAAATAGGAGCAGGTACTGCCTTTTAGAGAGGGAAGTTTCCAGCAGTCATCTCTGACAATTGGACCGAACATTCTTGCTGTAACACTGTCGTTTGTATATGTTTGTATTACTATTTCTGTTAATATATTTGTTTAACTTACTTCCTCTCTTGTGTCTTTATTTCTGGCCCTAACAAGGCCACAACAGTATTAACTTATATGAAACATCTTCAAAGCACGGAAAATGAAATGGGGTCACCCTACCCACTTGTACTGAATAAAGGTCCAGTTTAAATTTCTGAAGAAGGTCGAACGGTACAATTATGAATATAACAAAAATAATAATAAAATAAGATGATCATAAGCATATAATAAGGATAACTCTTAATCTCAAACAGGACAACATAACAAAAAGATTTGTTGTGTAAGATAAATGCCTTTTTTCAAGTTACGAATTTAATGATATACAGTGTAACCCGGATATAAGAGACCCGAATATAAGAGAAACCCGGATATAAGAGAGATTTTCTCTGGTCCCAAATTAGAGCCTGTGTTAATGCATATAAAATAGACCAAACCCGGATATAAGAGAAACCCGGATATATGAGACTTCGTCTCCGGTCCCGACAACTCTCTTATATCCGGGTTACACTGTACATGCGTGTGTATATGAAACTATTCTTCCCATAACATAGTATTAAGAATATTCATTTGATAAAGGAAAGGAAACGCTTTGCTTGACCTCCTGGAGAAGCTGATTGATAAAGGAAATAAAAGTACTAGAACATTTTCTAATACTTTTAGATAAAAAAATTGATTTTGTATTAGAATTAGAATTAGAATTTGTATTTATATTATACCAGTTTTGATTGATTCATTCATTCTTTATGGCTTATCAACCCTTTACAGGATATTTAAAGCCAGAAAATATTTTTAGATTGCAAGAACATTTCTTTTTGGAGATAATAATCATTTACTGATACAAGACTTACTAATGAAGAAGGGGAGAGAGAAGAGGTGGATGTATACCTTTCTCAAGGGTATTTGAGCGGAAGTTAATATAACGAACCCAACTGAAATTGGAACACGGCTCTCCAATTAACAAATCCGAGCCATTATCCATTACACCACCCACACATCTAAGCTTACAGCACCTGGTATTTCCAAGCGTTCACCCATCTAGGTACTAACCAGTCTCGACGTTGCTTAACTTCGGTCATCGCACAAGAACCGGTGTTTCAACGTGATATGACCGGAAGAGAGATGGATTTATACCTTTCTCAGGCGGGTAGGTGAATAAAACGAACCCAACTGGAATTGGAACTCGGCTCCCGATTAACAATTCTGAGCCATTATCCATTTACACCACCCGTATATTTCCAAACGGTTTCCCATCTAGGTACTGACTAGGATCGACGTTGCTTAATTACTATGATCATACGAGAACTGATGTTTCAACGTAAGGTTGCCGTAAGCCAATTCTACTAGTTTTTAAAATAGATTTTTAGATTTACAGTTAAAACAATTATGGATGCAAGTGTGTTTATGTCTGATATTTTGAGACGAGTTATTAATATTTCAATATTTTTTGCCTAACCTCATGATTGTTGCCATTCTTTGTTCATAACCTTTCAGTCTGTTATGTGTTCTTCTGGATAAATTCCAAGATGCAGTCTTTGTTGTTGTTCATTTCGTTTTAGCTCCGGTGAATTATGATAATTCACGACTGCATATCCTTGAAATTGGCGCAGTACATAAAAGGTATTTGCGATCAAGATATCTGACCAAGCTTGTTTATTAGATTTGATTGCATAGTAAATAGACGAAAGAATTTCCATTTTACCCCAAGTAAGAATAAGTAAAGTACCAAGAATGAAACTATTCATAAGAAAGAAAAGAAAAAGAAAGACATCTCTACTGGAATTCGTAAATATTTTCTTACATTGAATGTTTGCTTTTTTAAGTCTTTAGGGGAAAATTTATTTGTTTCTTCCTTTTCCTTTCTGGTGGATCCATTATTTGGTGTAGTGTACTAATATTTTTGGATTGTATTACTTTTTTAATTTTAGCCATTAACTTGTGTTGTCTTCTCCTCCTTAGTATCGCCACCATCTGGACCGGCATGCAGTGGTAGTTTTAGTTCCATTCTATTTTGAATATCAATGAATCTAATTGTGTCCCAAGGGTTTAAAAGGCAAAGCAATGAAAGTTCCCGTCAAAAAGGCCCAGTAAAGGTTCATTTTATTTATGTTTTATATATATATATATATATATATATATATATAGATAGATAGATAGATAGATAGATATCTACGCACGAGCGTGTTTCGAAGACAAGCTACACTAACAAAAAACAAACACACACACACACACATGTGCATGTTTGAAAGTATTTGTTTACATCTATGTTTGTACTTGAGGTGTATTTCTTTTGTTTGTGCTTTTCATCCTGGATTCTTATCTCCTTTGTATGTATACTGGCATTTTGTTTGTGTCAGCTACATATACCCAGGGATCTAAAACGTAACTAACCTACACTTTCCATATATATATATATATATATATATATATATACAGTGAAAATATTTCCTCATCGTCTACATTCTCACAAAAAAAACGCTCAAATACACGAATCTTTCTTTCTCTAATACACACACACATTAATACGTAAGTGTGTTGGGCCATTTTTCTTTCACGATTGTAGGGCTGTAATTTCTTCCTCTTACTCTCTCTTTTACATTTTAACTATTTTTTTTCAGTGTCGCATTTTTCTTTCGTTTCTTTCTTCTTCCCTGTCTTTCTTTCTTTCTTCGTTACTTTTCTTTTTTCCTTTCCTTCCTTTCTTTCTCTCGCAGTTATGCGTGGACAATAAGGATACGTTCTCCTTTTACCTTTCTTCCTCTTCATCTGTTTCTTTACACCTCTCCCTTTTTCTCTTTCTCTCTTTCTTTTCTTTTCTTCTCTCTCTCTTTATTTCCTCCTCCTCCTTCTCTCTCTCTCTCACTCTCTCTCTTTGATTTAGCTTGATCACTCGGGGGAAATACAACTGACTTGAGATGCCGGCTGCCCAAAATTCTTCTGATTATTCTGCGACACAATGTAGCAACCACACCCTCGGTGCCCCCTTTCCCTACCTTCTCTCCACACTCACACATACACAACTATGACTTAACTGTCAACTGCTAAAGCAAGATCAAAGTAATTCTTGCCTGTGACAGCACATTTTGCCGCTTACTCTAGATTTGCCATTAGTTTTACTATCACCCCTTTCCCAGTCAGCCTGGTCACACTCCTTCGAAATGTCCCTTTCACTTTCTCCCATCCCTTCCCTAATTCCGACAGTTACTTTCTTTTCATTTTTATTTGTCTCTTTCTTTCTTTCTTTCTTTCTTTCTTTCAGCAGACGGTCTTATAATTTTCTGTTTTTTTGTTCGCTTCTTCATTCATATTTATTTCTTATTCCGTTTTCCTCTTCCTTTGTCACTTTTCAATTGCTTATTTTGTGCATCAATATTCTCTTCTTTCGTCGATATTTTCCCCACTATCTCAACAATCATATTTTTTTTGTCTTTCTCTAATTTTTTTTTATCCGATTAGTTTTTTCTTTAACTATGAAGTCGTTTTTGCTCACCTTTCTTTATCGTACATAATTCTCATCTCCTCAATCCTGTTTTTTTCTTTCTTTCATTATTCTCTGTCTTTCAAGTTTTTTCCCCCTGAAACCTCTCTTTCTGTTTGTTTCTCTTTACGTTTGCCTTCTTTTCTCTCCTCTCTTTCCTCAAACATTTAAAAAAAATCTTTTTCTTGTCGTTTTTACGTCTTTTCTTGCATAGTTTCATTTTTGCATCAGTTCCTTTTTTCTTTTTCCCACGCGTGTATCTTTTCCCTTTTCGTTTTTTACTCTAGTTTTTGTTGGTATTTATTACATCCCCTTGATTTGTTTTCCTTTCTTTTTTAGACTCAGTATCTTGTTTCGTTATTTTCTTTTTGTCTTTTCTTTTTCCTTCGATCTCTAGTCCTTTTCCCCTCTTTTTAATCTTTTTTTCTTTTTGTTCTCTTTCGTACATCCCACTATCCCTTCTTCTCTCTTTTAATTGTACTTATTTTTTCTTTTTTTACTTTTCTCTCAAGTTTCTTTTTTAATGGACTCCCTCTCTTTCCAATTTTTCGTTGTCATTTTATTCGCAATTTATACATTATTTTAATTGGTCGTTTTCCGCATTTCTCATAACCACAGACAATCTTTGTTTGTATTTGCTTCACTTATTTTCCTTCTCTGTGCACTTTATTCAATCATATTCATTGTTATTTTCACATACTTCAGTTTTCATACTTGAGGTCTCTCCTTACCAAACTCTTCGTTTACAGGCCACTCGCTTTTCCCAACACTTTAAACACCTTTTCTTAATTTTTTTTTATGTCGATTGATATCCGGATCTCTTATAACTCCCCTTTTTGTCTCTTTTGGTCTCTAGTTATTTGCCTGTCCACATTCAGTTTTTTTTTCTTTCTCATCTTTTCAAACTTTTCATTTAGTATTTATTACGTTGCCTTTCTTTTCATTTAGTATTTATTTCTATTATGACGTTACCTTTCTTTTCTTGAAAATTTCTCTCTCTTTAAAAATTAATTAGTGTTTCTTGCGTCCCTTTCTTCATTTAATTGTTGTTGTTTTTTCCGTATTGAGTTGATTTTTCGTTTATGGGTCGCCTCTTTTTCGTGACTAATAATAATTTTTTTATTTGTTACGATTTTCTTTTTAGTTTCGTTTTCCACGCTTGATCTAACTCATAACTTCCTTCAGTACTACAGTGTAACCCGGATATAAGAGAGTTGTCGTGACCGGAGAAGAAGTCTCTTATATCCGGGTTTCTCTTATATCCGGGTTTGGTCTAATTTATATACATTTAACACAGGCTCTAATTTGGGACCGGAGAAAATCTCTTTTATATCCGGGTCTCTCATATCCGGGTTACAATTTATTTATATGCATTTACTATACAGTGTAACCCGGATATAAGAGACCCTGATATAAGAGAAACCCGGATTTAAGAGGGATTTTCTCTGGTCCCAAAGTGTTCCCATACTTACCTAAACAAAATAGACCAAACCCGGATATAAGAGAAACCCGGATATAAGAGAGATTTTCTCTGGTCCCAAAGTGTTCCCATACTTACCTAAACAAAATAGACCAAACCCGGATATAAGAGAGATTTTCTCTGGTCCCAAAGTGTTCCCATACTTACCTAAACAAAATAGACCAAACCCGGATATAAGAGAAACCCGATATAAGAGATTTTCTGGTCCCAAAGTGTTCCCATACTTACCTAAACAAAATAGACCAAACCCGGATATAAGAGAGATTTTCTCTGGTCCCAAAGTGTTCCCATACTTACCTAAACAAAATAGACCAAACCCGGATATAAGAGAAACCCGGATATAAGAGATTTTTTCTGGTCCCAAATTAGAGCCTGTGTTATCGTATACAAAATAGACCAAACCCGGATATAAGAGACTTCTTCTCCGGTCCCGACAACTCTCTTATATCCGGGTTACACTGTATATTTATATAGGCAATTTATTTACTATAGTTGTTAGTCATGTTTCCATCAGTGCTATTTTCCTTTTTTATCGATGTGTCGTCAAAGTGTTTTCTTCAGTACCGACCGCTTTTCAACCCTTACGATTCTTTTTTTTTCTTTTCTCTTAATAAATCTTTCATTTAACTCCGTTTCTTATTCCATATTTCTGTCAGTCTAAACACGTTTTTTGTCATTGCCTTTTCTTCGTTCACTTACCTCGTTCTTTTTTTTTTTATACCCAACTTCCCTCTGCAAGTTAATTTCTCTGTCCTCTGCACATGTCCGTCATGCATTGCTTCTATCTCCTCACAGATAAAGGAAGAGGCTTGAAGCAACAGAAATCTGGTTATTGAGAATAACATAGAATAAACATGGGCAACGACGAACGTCTAGAGACAATGGCAACAAAAAGGACACTTATAATTAACACCAGAAAGAGATAAGGAGGAAAAAGGGCTTGGAAAATGTTATACTCACAGGACAGATTGAAAGTAAGAGAGACAGGAAAGCAACGCATAACTAACCTGGCGAGCTTGAGAGAATGTATGGCGGAGCAGGATCTGGGAGAGACAGCAAAAAGATGAAGGTTATTAAGAGCTAAAAAGATAGGGAATTGTGGAGAGCCATGATCACCAACGTCCTGGATGTATATGGCAAATAGCAGAAGTATTCCTGTCTCGATAGTTTCGAGTTTGAGCTTCTCTGTGTTGCCGACACTGTGGTTTGAAACCAGATCGCCAGTGAGTAACACGGGCGATTCCATTATTAAGTAGATCACGTGCTCATAAAGGAAGTGAATAAAGAGGAAGTAGCGTAATGACTATACGATCACTTTTCATTCTTCTTGTCCATCCACTATACGTTCAGTCTCTCTTCTACTAGATATTTACCCTGTCTCCCCACTAAGACGAGTTGTGACATAAGGTTAGTTTTTAATATGGGGACCCGAGTGCGTACACCCGGGCTAGGAACAAAAAATTGCCCACAGCCCCCGCAACCGTCGGTTGCGCTGGCTTCGGTGAGAGCACCGATCCTTCTCTCTGGTGCAATTAGAGGGCACATCCTCGGGCAGCTGTTCCCTAGAGCTGGGCACCTCTCAGTATAATTTTCCTCGGTTGCGACTCTGTCTTTTGACGGAGCCGCCTCTGAGCCCATTCTGGCGAAAGATAAAGATGCAACTGAGATAATGTCTTACAAACTACTCGAGAGAGCAGCTCTACTAGTGTATACGGATTACGATTCTCTTCTGATTATTATACTATTTGGCGATTACTACTTGAGCAAGTATTACTAGTGCGGATATTATTGGAAGGCGTTACTACTAGTACCGGTGTCTACGAAGTCTAAAATATAAGGAATATTTTTGGAAGTAATAACGACCTTTTGCATAACATAGCAAAAGAGACAAGCGAAGCCGTCCAACGTCACAAAACCTTTCCTTTCTATCTTTCTTTTTTTTTTTTTTTTTTTCTGTTCTTTTTAATTTTATTTCTTTCGTTTCAAGTTTTCATTCTCAGTCAAAATTTTTTTTTTATCGATTCTAGGTTTTTTTTTTTTTTACTTCCATGCTTGTTGATTTCTTCTTTGTTTTGGAGCTCTTTCTCACCTCGTTCATGTTTACTTTCAATTCTTCGATAATTTCTTTTTTTCTCTTACACACTCTTTCACTGTGCTTCCTTCTCCAATTCTCCACCCCCCGTCATATTTCTATTACGTCTTTTTGGCCTCTTTTTTTTCCGACCTATTTTCTTATTGATTTTTCATAAAAGTCTCTTTACTTTTTTTTTTTACCTGTAAACCCCTTTTGCTACTTAAAAAAAAAAAAAAACGCTACACATTCTTTTCTATGTTTTCTTTAACTTTTCTTTCTCTATAGCCTTTTCTTTCGTCTCCTCTCTTCCGTAGATCGTTTCCTTTCCAATCAGCCCCTTCTCCGCCCTTCCTTTCCTGACAGCTCCCTCCTCAATTCCAATTCTTCCACTCCTTTTTTTCATTGTCCCTTTTCCTCCCCTTTATTCAGGCCCTTTCCAATTCCGTCAGTCCCTTTTCCAAATTCCGTCACTCCCCTTCCCCATTTCCATTTGTCCCTTTTTCCCTCCCCTTCCGTCAGTCCCTTTTTATTCCTTTTACACACACTCTCTCTCTCTCTCTCAGTTTCCTTCTATGACGATCCTCCTTCTGTCTTACCACTACAATAA